GCACGGCACTGGCAGAAACACCCTAAAACACTGTTTAAAACAGAGCCTTTAAAACTGGCTCATTCCCGAATTACTCATGTGAAAACCTCGCTGCTGCTTGCAGCTGCGATTACTGACTTACCGGGGCTTCAACTCGCTTACCACTGGGCTGGTAAGCACTAGAAAGTGTGCACTTACCCAAAAAATAAAATTGAGCAGAAAAATCAGATACTTGACGCAAGGGCTGACGTATGTGAAGTTGCTTCGATACGCATCCCTGCGATGATGGGGGTACGACATGATTTTCACTGTTTTTTTCTATAAAACACTGTGTTTTTTAAAAAATTCACAGCCTTTGTTTACAACACACACAACAAAAATCAACTGAACAGCTGTTGTCACTGTCACTGCCAATGTGACTAATCGGGGTTGGTGACAGTTGCGCCATCTGGCGGTGACGACCCGAGTGCGCTTAGCTGTGATGCAGTTCGACGCTCCAGCTGTTTTCTATTCAGGCAACTTGAAACATTTCTGGAGGCTTTAATAGGAATTAGGTGCTTTTGCTTGGGACACCCGGTATATTTTCACGCATCCAGCTAAAAACTAGAAAAAATGCCGGATTTTAGGGGCAAAATAGTGTCGGGTGGGCAAATAAAAAAACCAACTTCAAGCGAATTTAATTACAAAACTTTATTGATCTCAGTAGTTTAATTATTTCCTGATATTTTGACAGACGAAAATGAAATTTAAATAAAAAAAATCGTCAAAAATTGCCTGATGATGTCGCCAAAATCGAAACTTTGCCACTGAAAGAACTCACCTTGTGCAACAAAACGCACTCAAAAGTAACTGAGTAGCTTCTCTGGTTCCAAAGGAAATAAATGTCATAATTCGACCTGCAAAAACAACGGTTAAAATGAACCACAACTTTGAAAATAGCTGGAAAATAGCCTGATGATGACAGAAAATCGAAACTTGGCCCACTTGTACGATTCACAATCTGCTCATCTGACAGGAAATTTTTTTGTCTAGAACTTTTATTTGCTGTATTTTTAGCAAAAATGCTGTTTTCGACCAGTTTTCACGCATTGAACTTCACCAATTTTCCATAGGATCACAAAGGTGGCCATGCTCTCGCCGTGACTGTCAAATCGTTGCCACGGTGACACATGTCAGAAAATTTTGCACATTTGCCAAATGTACATTTTGTTCCCCGTTGACTTCTTCTTACACACATTTGAATTAGTCTGGGATAATTTATTTAAGTTTTGCACAGTATTGATTAACTGCGTTTTGTTATCAAATTTAATAATTAACGTCTATGTTGTCCTTTGAGTCCATTAATTAATTGACGTTGATGTTTCGGCTAAAAACTGTCAAAATTTGAGTTCTCCAGTTGGTGTGGTTTGAAAGTTAGAAGCACATCACTGTCAAATCCGCCTATCGTTTTTCTCTGTTTTACCCAGTTTGAGAATTAATTGCTTTTCCGCTGGTACTTAACCTATAAACCGTCAAAATTTGACATCTTCGGCTCTTGTGTGTGTAGAAAATTGACAACCAATCACCATCAAATTGCGATTTTTTTAAATGTTTCTTACATTGTCTGTCACATGGTTAAATCTCTGGAGCAATTGACACTGACGTTTGGGCCACAAACCGTCAAAATTAGACAGCTTCAACTGAAGTTAGTTTGACAGTTGGGGGCTCGTCATTGTCAAGTGCAACGCTCGATTTTTTCGTGTTTTTTTTATAAACGGCACTTTTGCGATTTTCCACCCCAAAGGACAGTGAGCCGCTGGATAGAAGCAAACTAGGAAACGGTGCTGCAAAGCGCAGCAAAAAAAAACAAAACCTTCAGTTTAATTTTATTACAAACACTTTATTCACCCTAGTGATTTAATTATTTCTTTACACTTTCTTTAAAAAATATCAATTAAACCCTTAGGTCTAGTAAAACGCGCACTGTAAACGGCGCCTTAGAAAATCCTAACTATAAACTAACGCGCGCAAAAAAGAACAAAAGTAAACGATGCGCACGTGCGCCAATAGCGCGACGCACGCAAAACGTGCGCGCATGCTCGCGTTTCGTGCGCAGCTTAGCGCACGCGATTTGGTTAAGTAGAAAATGCGCAAAAGCGATATCGGCTCGTTTCGGCGCATCAGTTGCGCAAACCGGCCGAAACTGATGATTTCGCAGGTGTTTTCGAAATTTTCCTGAGAATAGCTCTCTAATAATTTAAATTGATTTAATGTTTTTATTGCACGAATCGGCGCCCAGATGGGGAAAAATGGATAATTTCGAGAAATTCGCTTTCTTCCGCCAAAAACCGAGCGCCGCGCCGTGATCCACTAATAGTACTAAATACGGTAACAGAATAAATATATATTTATATAT